ACCGTTTTATAAAAGCAATAAGCCCCGTGAAGCCGTGGTTTACAGTGAATTTATAACAGCTAAGGGGGTTTTAGGCACCCCGTGTTAGGGTTAGGGTTAGGTTAGGGTTAGTTAGGGTTAGGGTAAGGCATCTAACAACGCCCCTTAGCTGTTATAAATTCACTGTAAACCACGGCTTCTTGGGGCTTATTGCTTTATTGTTGGCTTTCTTCCGGTGAACATGAAACATATTGTTTCAGTGTCTTTTGAAAAATGTCTGTTTTTTTGTTTTTTTTTGGCTTGTTTTGTTTTTCTCCATACAGTGGAAGTCAATGGTAATCAAAACCAAGCTGTCAGAATGATCTGTAATCATTCAGCTCCAGCAATCAGGTAGGGAAAGAAAATGTAGACTCTGGTTTTTCTGGGAGAAAAAAAAAACCCTCCTTTTTCTGCTTCTACTTGCACCTGATTTATACACACAAATGACGGGGTTGCTAAAGTAATATTTAATTATTAGTAAAGATGGACTTTACTAGCAGTAGGTGGAATCCACTGAAAGTGTTTGAGCAACCATATCTGTATGCACAAGCAGAAGGTCTCAAAGTCTCAGAATAATAGTAAACAGCAAAGCTTTAACATGGATGCTGTTAGTAACGATTCCCCGGCTGCGCTCTGGTAACCCAGACAGCAGACAGTTTCGGCCCAGATCCGGCCCACATCTAGCCCGCATGGATTTCACATGGGCCAGATGTGGGCCGGATCTGGGCCAACACTATGTTGCTGTCTGGGAACATATGGGTTAAATCTTCTTCTATGTATGCTAATGTACGCATATACTGTACCAACATCTGTCTTTTCCAAAGGATTGCAGTGAATATGGTCGGACCATTGGAGATTGCCTTGCTTTTGATGTTACAGATTGATTCACCAGTGATGATTTATAAACCCCAAGTGGTCCTAGAATAAGCGTTTTTGTTTTTTTTTTATGCAAAATGTGATTTCTCACAAGGGTGAAATAGGACCAGGCATGCGTTCATAAGATGTATCCATATAATATACATTTAAACACACACAAAAATGTGTTCAGTTTCAGAAAGCCTTTTATTTATCAACAGTAAAAAGTGTTATGAGGAATGAAAAATATAGTGGCAACATGCATTTTTCAGGGGGCAGCTGTTTAATGGTCATATACACAACAAAGAGCCCATTTTTCTGCTTGTTCATGTTAGGATTTCCCTCTTTAAGACATTTAGCAAACCTACTGATGTCAAAACACAAATATTTGAAACTTAAAATGCAACAGAGTGCCATCTTTGTCAAATACCAGCAGATTTTGTGTCACCCTTCAGCTTCACATGCAATCTATTTAAAGAGTTGACTAGAGTATTTGCACAACATATATTATTAGGATATTTTTTATGTTTCATCCAGGCACATTTGACTGGATGTGAATCATTCGCTCTTTTAATGTAGATCCTAATCTATTTAAATGAGTCGTAAGAGAAACACTATTGTTCTATATCTAGTTGTATGAAAATAATCCATATTGTTTAAAAGTTTCCATAAAAATGAAAACGTTTAAATGTTATAAATGTTTTCAACAAATTCTTGGGATGTAACACACATTATCTCACATATCTGTCTCTGATATGTCTTTTATGAATAAATACTACACTTGGATGGGCTGAAAGAAAAGCTCAGGTTAGATCTTGTGCTCTTACGTCATGATGACTTTAACTGTGTCATCATAATCACAGTTTAGCACTAAATCGGACACATACATATATATATATATATATATATATATATATATAATGTGACACTGGAGCACAAAAGCAGTCTTAAGTCGCTGGGGTATATTTGTAGCAATAGCCAAAAAAAACATTGTATGGGTCAAAATGATCGATTTTTCTTTTATGCCAAAAATCATTAGGATATTAACTAAATATCATGTTCCAAGAAGATATTGTGTAAATCTCCTACTGTAAATATATCAAAACTTAACTTTTGATTAGTAATATGCGTTGCTAAGAACTTCATTTGGACAACTTTAAAGATGATTTTCTCAATATTTTGATTTTTTTGCACCCTCAGATTCCAGATTTTCAAATAGTTGTATCTCGGCCAAATATTATCCTAATAAACCATGCATCAATTAAAATATTATTTATTCAGCTTTCAGGAAATGTATACATCTCAATTTCAAAAAATTTACCCTTATGACTGGTTTTGTGGTCCAGGTCATATATATATATATATATATATACTCAAATGCATTTCCTGCAGTAGTTTGAGGTCAGTATATGTCAGGCAGGTGTGAGTAGTTCCTGTTCCAGTAGCCGCCGGTGTAGAGCCAGTCTGGGGCTCCGGTGTAAGGATTCGGCCCCTGATGAAACCACCTGCATGCGAACATGAGTTTGATGTTAAGGTGTAGATCAATGCAATCATGTCTGTCCATCATCAAAATAACTCTACATTCAGCCACGTGCAGATTGCAATCAGTGCTGATGTCTGCAAACACAGACGGTTTAATCATAAGTCTTCATGTACAGTCATTTCAGAACAAAGAAGGCCCCTGAGGTATGTACTTTCACCCATCTGTGTATGCTTTGTTGTTGTGTATTTATTAACTTGTCAAACCTTATTTTCCATTCCTCGTCTGATTTGGAGCGATTTTTCAGAGCCGTTCGTTGTTTTTCCTCCAGTCTGGTCTTCTCTGCACTGGCCAAATCTGGGGAAACAGCAGCGATGCAAATCACGCATTCAAACTCTATAGTATTACAGTTAAGCAGTCTTCTATTATGGCATTATAAACTGGAACAAAAACCGATGTCGCACACTCCTATCCAATCAGGACAGCAAAAGAGTGGCTCAACACTCCATGAGAAAACAATATCAGTGCAGTGTTATTTTAGTATTATTTACAGTTTTTATTAATATTTTGAAGTAGCTTTTTAAAATATATTTATTTTTTTCAATTTTAATTATTTGTTTAATTTTTAGCATATTGGTGGTGTTCCTGTAGCTCAAATAGTAGACCATGTTACTAATAAAGCCAAGGCCGTGGGTTCAATTCCCTGGGAATGCATGAACTGAAAGTAATGTATAGAACTGTATTTGGTGTGAAGACTGCAGTGACAGTGTAACTACAGTGGTTGTGAGTTTTCTGGGTGAATGCATGTGTTTCTTTATAAGACACAATAAGCGGTCGATGTACCTATGTCTCCATTCTCCAGGGCTCTGATATCGGGCCTCAGACGACAGTCTGTTTGTGGAAGAATTCGCTCCATCTCTGCATCCAGCGCATTCAACTGCAGAGCGAATGTCGTGAAAGCATAGAACTGACAGAAAGAAAGAAAGACATTGAGTGACAATATGCCACCCCTGCTGAAAAAATCCAGCATTGCTGGTCTCCAGCGTAGAGTATGTTTTGCAAATTGGAACCAGCATGGAAATTTATTCTAAGACATAAAATACATCAGTACTACCCCCTTGTGATTTTTAGCTTTTAGTTGTCTTGAAAAAGCCGGTTGCTAATAAGTGTCTGAATGGGACTACAGAGGTTGTCGGTGACATTAAACATCAGTTGCTTTCACCACCTCGATGTGTTTGCACTCTTGCAAACGATTATAACTCAAACTTTCAGGGAAAGTGTTTTTAAATGAAGACTGAAAGAGTTAATTGTGGTGATGTTGAAGTCATGTGACCGTGGTGTAGTTTCTTTATAGCCTCTGTTTAGCTTTTTACTGCTGCAGATTGTATTGAGGCTTCAAATTTTATAAAAGCAGCATTCATTTGTGAAGATTATCATGATGAACAAAGCATGTCAGAATCAAACGTTTGCTTATTTTCTACGGTGGCCAAGAGAGCTCAACACGCTGCAAATGAAAAAACACATGCAAATAGAAAAAATCAATTTGACAACACACGCGTTGCAAATTCTCACAACACAAACAAAGAAACACGCTTCCTTTAAACATTTCCGATGTGATCTGTGCATATTTGCAGTGTTTATGTTTTTGTTTGTATTTTAGTTTTTTTGTATTTGCAGCGCGTTTCTTTATTTGTGTTGTTAGAATTTGCAACGCGTGTGTTGTCAAATTGATGAAGATGTTTTCTTAATTTGCAGGTGTTTTTTTTTTCTATTTGCATGTTCATTTAAAGCGCGTTGAGCTCTCTCGTCCACCGTCATTTTCTGCAATAATCCAAAAACCAATGAAAAATCCTATTGAGATGTTGTCGAGGGAATCAGGGTGATGCAAAATTCTGGGATGCCTACAAAAATACAGAGTGGAAACAAATGTTAATTTACACTTAAATATATATGTGTGCGCCATAGCCAATACAAACCCCCTCCAATAGGGCCCTCAAACTAGAAATCAATCGCAAGGAATCAGAGGCACTAACTGATTCTAATTCCGAAAATGATTTGGAGTTCAGATTCTAATTCAGTAAAATGTTACATTATTAGCGATCATTGCAGTCACGTCCACATACTTGGCTACTGGTGCTCATCTCCAGCCCAAGTGATGTGTAATGCTAAAATGATAATTATATCATGTTTGGTAATGAATCACATCATTAGAACAAGAGTGTGTGACGATAAATGCTGAAATATTCCGCATACTTTCCCGGAGTTGTCTGGTCGCGGTGATATCCTCCAGATCAGCTCACTTCCTGGAATCGCCTGCACGGTCTCGGCTTCTGGAGGAGGCATTTCATCCGCATTATTACTCTAGAAGAGACACCAGTTCTGTATGTCAGCAATATTGCCATTAAATACACCAAATCAAATGAAGTATGTTGGTGATCATTATCTCAGCCGTCACCTGTGTGCTTCCCTTCCTGTCCTTCTCAGAGAGCTTTGTGTCAGATTTTCTGTGAGCATCAAATATCGCTGGATCCACAGAATACAAGCACTCCGTCCACTTGCCATACAGAGCACAGATCTTTCTTTTACTGGACAGACATAAAGAAAAGAACAACGTTCATAACAGTTCAGTCTAATATCAAGTCAAAGCTAATTTGTGACCCTGGAGTCTTAAGTCGCTGGGGTATATTTGTAGCAATAGCCAAAAACATTGTATGGGTCAAAATTATAGATTTTTCTTTTATGCCAAAAATCATAGGATATTAAGTAAAGAGCATGTTCCATGAAGATATTTTGTAAATTTCCTACCGTAAATATATCAAAACTTAATTTTTGATTAGTAATATTAAAGGCGACTTTTTCAATATTTTAGATTTTTTTTTTTTTTTGCACCCTCAGATTCCAGATTTTCAAATAGTTGTATCTCGGCCAAATATTATCCTATCCTAACAAACCAAATACTAGTTCAAGTCAAATCAGTATGATTATGTAAATACATCACTTGCAATCATGCTGTTGCAATGAATACTGGCACGGCTACTACATACTGTATAACATTTACAGTACAACTGTGCAATTGTGAGAGTGATATTGGTTTTATAAAAACACAGATAAGCAAAGTGATACATAAAGTAACGGTTAAACTATTAAAGCAGACAGGATAATCTAATGACTGCTATTTGACATGTAGTTGCAAAATTACTTATAGTTAGTAGAATGTCTAAAATGCACAATCAAAAAAAGTAAAATGCTTTTGTGTTGTTATATGAAATATCAACCCTCTTGGAACACTACATATCCAATCAAATTAGTGGACCAGAGTTAACGTGTGAGAGCTTCACATACTGCACTACACCACACTACAGTAAATTGAATCAGCTTATTTGGGTCTCTGGGACAGAAATAACATTTGTCATTTTAGTAATGTCTACATACCTTTTATCAAGTATGTATCCTTCCACTTTATGCAACTCTTTTCCAAATATTCCACACGGTTTGAAAGTCAAACAACATCTTTCCCCAGTTCTGTTAAAAAACACAGTAGTCTTTCACAGTAGTTGTTCTTCTCCAAGCTTAATAAAGCAACAATGATCTAATCTACACCCTTGTTTATGTCAAATCAGAGGACGATACACTTGCTCTTACTTATGATTAATAATTTCAACATTTCCATATTGCTCAATCCACAGTTGTCCCATGATAATGTTATGAACACAGCAGGTCGGGTTGGTCCAGGTGTAGGCTTCATTGTGGCTGAAAAACAGCAAGTTAACAAAACACAAGTCGATCATATAGCTGAATTTACATGTAAGATGTGGGACATGTGGAATAAACACATGCATGTTTACTGGCTGTAAAGGACTCACAGAGGAAGCTCTAAGGTGATGATTCCACGAGGTTCGGCCTCCACACTCTTTCCCCAGAATTTCAGTTTCGGATAAATGGAGCCATGAAACCTGAAGTCGCTCTTTATGCCCTCGGCGTGGAAGGCACTGACCGGCGGATGATGACTGACCTGCTCAGAGACCCATCTGAACCCCAGATCCTCTCTGATGACTCAAAAACACTGACGGTTCATATGAAACATTGACGTGTTCGGCTCATAACCGATCAGTCGATGTAAAACACTGACCTGAGCAGCTCGTAGGTTTCTCCGAGCAGTGGGTTGAAGGGTTTTCCCGTCCTCTCCCACTGCGAGGCCACAGCTGACACAGCAAAAGCTGCCACACACTGAAAAAGCAAAGAATTACCAACAGATTACAGTTTTTTTACAATCACGTCTTAATACTTAGGTCACTTTTTCAAAACTCTTCACACAGTTCTCTTAACCAACTTTAATCTTGGCACAGGAGTACATTTCACATTCAAAATGCACTAAAACTACCAAAATCTCATTCTTCCATAACACCTAGCAAAGGTTTTCCCCAACAATCACTTATAAAACAATGACCTAGAAACACTAACATTAGCATTATACAATGATTTTTCTGTTTAATTTTATAAAACAAGAACACTCTCCACTGCTTAGAATTAACTGATGTAAATGTTACACGCTCCATGTTTACATTATAGCACAAAATTATTCCTATGTTTCCCCTTTTGTGTAGATGGTAATGAAATTGAAAGACTAGCACCTGTGTATGTGTTCAGTTACATCTGAATGTTTTGATAGCATTTAATTTTTTTTTTGATTTAGACTATATTTCAGTACAGCATTACTATAGAAATGTAACAAATTACTGTATATTATGTTAGGTTTTGAACTTAAGTTTAACAGTTTTGAAAAGAGTTTTTAAATGTGCAAGTTGGCCTGTAGGTACATAGAGTTTTGGCTGTGGTTGTGTTTGAGTGATAAACGAATTCATGTAACTGTAAGAGTAAGAGTCTGTTTCATGAATATTTATTTTTACAGTAAGTTTGAACAACCTTATAGTTATACTTCAGTTTATATTTTACTCTTCATTTGGCTGCAGAGCCATTTCAGGTTTATTGAGTATAATTATATTGCTTATAATCAAAATTAATCTTCTGTGTTTGGTCTAATATTTCATTAATTATATTCACTACAAAAAAAAGTGCATTGTATTTACATAGGATTACATAAAATTTACACAATGCATACTTATGCTCAAGGTAATTAAATGCAAAACATATAGATTAATTCAGACATTAAGACATTTTTATGAGAAATTTAATTGTACCACCAAAAATTAATCTGCATTAAAAATAGTGATTTAACTTCAACTTAACCAAAGCTGAAGTTAAGAAACTGAAATTCAACTAATTTTCATGGCCTCTCCCATTTAAAAACATAAGTAAAATCTAAATTCTGTACACCACCATAATCATTTCAATGGCTTTGTAATGCAAACATCATGCCAGAATACATTAATTGTACCATATGCATGTTAATATAGGCCAGGCTTAAATTCAATGCTCTGTTTTACTCAATAGGTCCCTGCTCTATTTCTCAATTCACCAAGGGTTTCATGGCCTAAAAAATATATATATATATATTTACCTTCATTCTGTGGATGGAGTCTTGTGAAGTGCTGGCCTTGTGGATGAGGTATGTGTGCTCCATGTATTCAGTCAATCTCTGAAGAAAACTCAAAGGCTCATTAAAAATCACTGGCATTGTGATTTTAGACAGTTCCTGTGAAGAGTTAAATATGAGAACAATTGATTAACAGATTAACAGAACTCAAGTCACCTTTATTCTATAACACTTAAGAATGCAGATTGTTTTGTATAGTTCTTGTAAAGTTCATCAGATCAGTTTAATAGCTGTGCCAAGTTTATCAATTATTAAACAAGTTTGGTTCAAGCAGCTCTCCTGAAGAAAGTAGTGTTGTTATTCAAAGTCAGTTCAGAAATTTCAGAAGCAGATTTCCACTTTACAAACCGGAGAATTAATTTGGCATGCTTACATCATGCAAATCTTGCAATACAAACGTATTTATGCATATATAAGCATATTTGACTCACCATCCCAATGCATTTTTTGAGAACACTCCACATACTGACATTGCTTCGTGAGAACATTGCAGCAGGAAGAGCCGACCTATTCCAACATGGACAATGAAACACATTTCCCTATGAGTTCAGAACTGCACAGGTAATCGGAGAACATCAAATGCAAACATGTATTCCAGCCAATATATTTAAGCAATATTACATGAGCAAGAATGCTGTTGTTCTTAATATAAGCACGACTGCAGCCTCGTGCAGCAGGTAAAGCAAAGCTTATATTCAGATTCAATAGTACAACTGCTGACGTCAAGTATAAACCAGGCTTAACCTCGTAACCCCGTAACCAAGAAGGGAGCAGTCTTAAATCACAACTTAAAAGTATATATTTATTTTTTGTGGCACATTTGCTATCAGGTATAAATCACAATGGCAGTTCCATGTAAGCATCATTTAAGAAAATATGTAAATTAAATAATATTTTACTAGTATAAACTATAAATGTCCCTCTTTTGCTCTCACTCCACTGGCTTCCTGTTGCTGCCCGCATCAAATTTAAGGCTACAATATGAGGTTGGCCTACGACTGAATGAATGAATGCCAACAATGCTACACTCAATATTATATTATTTAACAGGGGGTCCTTGCTCAATAGCTCATTTCACCAACTTGAACCGGATTAAAAACTGAAAAACCCTGGTCTAAATACTAGAAAACCAATTGTCCAACCAATTATTACAATTATTTTTTTTGGTCACAATGTAGGGCTTGCCATAATACAGACACCATAGATCACGACATTCTGCATAAGTGTAATATTGTAATATGGAGTGCCACAAGGCTCTGTCTTGGGGCTTCTATAGTTATAATTGATTAATAATGTGACCATAATTATATACTTCATGTAGCTAAGTGATGGAATATGGTTTTACTCAGCTAAACAAATAAAACTGACTTCACTTGATTAAATTAAGGTTTCTGCAGGTTTATGAAGGTACATTTAAGACTTTTAAAGCCTTTTTAAGACCAAGTAAAGAAAATGTTAGGAATAAATTTAATTGAACACAGTATGGTCAATATGGTCTCTAAATGTAAATGTCTTGTATTAGCAACACTTCAAAATTTGAAAATATGACTTACAACTGATCAACACATATCTGCCAGTGGGCTCAGAAAAATAAACTTAATCCAAAGGGAAAACAAGTTTTAATACCACATTAACAGATGTTTGTTCTTGTTTTAATCATGAACTCATTTAATATTGTTCCATTTCTCAGAAAACAAGACTTCATATCATCCTTTTGCATCTGAAAAATGTATTTGGATTTAAGGATGTTTACATATTCACATTGGAACAACAAAAACAAAAATACTTAAGATATTAATTTTCTGCAATGCATGCAACATTTAATGCCGCGACTTGATGAATTTAAGGTTGCTCTCTTCTGCTCCGATTTAAGAGCTTTTAAGGCCTTAATTTGTGAAAATGTGAAGTATACACTTTTAAAGACCTTTTAAAGACCTGCAGAAACCCTGTTAATGAGGTTTTAACAGCATGTTTAAGCAACAACAATAATAATCATCTGCAAACACTGCAAAATGGCCTTTTTAATACACAGGGTAAAGTGAATGCACAATTTAAAATGAGAAAGGAAAACCAAATCCCATGAAACCGAAGGTATACCTGTGATTTTTCTCTCCATTGCACTGGGTTTTGTCACCCTGGCTACCGTCCCCTGACATGATGTCTCAGTCTCTGGGGTCACAGTTGAAGCTGTGTCTGTAGACACCAAACTGTTCTGGCTCTAGAAAAACATAGAAGGATCTAGCAAAAACATGGTGCTTGATGAGAAAAAGAAGAACATTTGATAACTTTATAAAGATAAACAAATGCATAGAATGATATAGACAGACTGTCAAGACCAGAACTATGTTTTCAAACAGCTTTGTAAGTCAAAGTAGATCATAGAGAACATTGATGCCAGTGTTTCGTAATATTATTTCGATACTTTTGGGAAATGCAGCCTAGAACTGAGAATGTGGACAATTAACATCAACAAATGGATTTGTATTAGAGAAATACCGTTCAAATTATTTCTTGTTGTGTGCATTATGTATATGAAACATAAGTTTAAGCAAAGTATGCACATGTTTCTATCATTGTAAAGCATAGGGGATTATAAGATTATGACAGTATTATGACAGGTGGTATGATGACATCTGTCAACTGCTACAAGCAAATTAAGACTTGCATTTAAACCTTTATCAGTGTTTAATGTCGTGTGTTTACTGTAGTTCACACTGTACTGAACATCTGTCTGCCGAGAGAGCCCTAAAAAGGCACTTAGCTATACAACACTCTCAGAAAAAAGGTGCAAAAGCTGTCATGGGGGCAGAACCTTTTCTAAAGGTACACCTTTGTACCTTATTTACCCCTAAAGGGAGTATATTAGTACCTTAAACATACATATTAGTACCTAAAGTGTACATATTAGTGCCTAAATGGGACATATTAGTACCTTTTGAAAGGGTACCATCACAGTGACAGGTTTTGCACCTTTTTTGCGTAAACATTGCTTACAATAACAACTAAATTTGCCTATTAACAACTAATAATTGCGAGAAGATTATACAAATTATTACAAATAAACATCAAGCAACACATTGTTAAATGTGTATTTTTGAAGTAAAAAATAAAATGAAATAGTATTTTATTGTAAAACATACTCCAATAATCTACAACTTAACTATATTTACATTTACATTTAGTCATTTAGCAGACGCTTTTATCCAAAGCAACTTACAAATGAGGACAATAGAAGCAATCAAAAGAGCAATAATATATAAGTGCTATGACAAGTATTGGTTAATCTAATGCAGTAAACGTAGCAAGCTTTTTATATATAATACATATTTTATTACTTTAATTTACTCTGAATAGGGCAGAGTAAATTAAAATAATAGCTAACCAATAAACAAATAAGAAACAAATCCAAAAATTCATATTTTATTGTTGGTATAATTAATTTTAATCTAATTAGATTAGACTCTGCTCATATGTCTGTCCTTACTGATGCCACACCTGAAACATTGATAACATACAATAATGCAAAAAATTTAATCAGAAATTCAAGCATTATAAAAAAAATCCCACCGGCTCAGTGACATCAAAACACGGAGGAAAACTGATAAAAACACTCAACACTTGATAAAAAAAGATATCATGTGGTATACAATATGTATATAGAATCCTGTTTTGATTAATGTTACTGTAGTCTATAGAGTGACAACATGACAGATGCTACTATTCTTGTCACATTTTCAATCACTCGACCTATCTTCACTTTCAGCGCCAGAGGTCATACTCTAACTAAATCTACTGTCAGTAGCTTCATTTGACAGTGAAATAAGTGACATGAAAGTAAAGATGTGAGCAGAGAAGAGCAGAAATGTGAATGTACCTGCCTGGATGGCCTCTGCAGGAGTCACCTTGTTTTGCGTCCTCTCTGCTGTTCCTGTATGTGAGACTGCTGCGCGAAATGGAGCACAGGAGAGACAGTGTGTGTGTGTGTGTGTGTGTGTGTGTGTTTGCAGAGCTCAGCATAAAGAGGATCGGAGAGCAGCTGATCAATCTACACCTGTGCTGCGATGAACACTCACACCAACACATACAGCTATAGTATATATACCTGAACTATTAATAATAATGCAATCCTTTCATACTTTTCAGCAGAGTTCTGTAATAAATGTGACTGTTACCTCAATGGCTCTACGTTCACTGCATACTAATGCCACAAGACTCAATACACAATACAATGTATAGGTATAGACTGTGTGGAAATGTGATGTCTATACAGCCCTTGTTAAGAAATTAATAAATAAACATGATAACTTAATATGATAAACATCAACAGTAAACCTAGATAGATAGATAGATAGATAGATAGATAGAAGTGCTTATGAAGGGTGTAATGGAACATTACTGCTCACTATACACTGAGCCGTCTTAAGAAGCTTTACTCCTCTTTAACAGAGTAAGCACCCTTCAGAAACGCTCTCATTCATTTTTCGCCATTCATTATATCTATACAAATGCATAATGCAAAACAAAACTCCAATTCCGGTGACACTGCCCCAAGCCCTTATTAGCAGACATTTATGAGGTGTTGGACCCAATAATCACATCCTATTCACTCTAGGCGATCTAGACAAAATGTTAGCAGCAACACACAAAACCTCGCCCTTTCCACATTGTCTTCATCATGTTTACAAATTAAACATTTGTCCTTTCTTGTTAGCACAATTAGAATAGCTTAGCCTGTTAGCTTAGCATAGTGATTATTATCGGATTATTAAATAAAAATGTGATTAACTAGAAGATGATATCATGACAACACGCTGACAAAATATGAAGACGAGTCTGTCTCTGTAGGCTCACAATGAAATACATTTCTGATTCAGGCTATAATTCGCTATAGTTTTATAACCTGATTAAACCTTCATCTGAAATTCATAAATCAAGATGCTCTATATATTGCCCAGTCCTAAACTGTTTACAGTGGATTTACAACTTCGGCCTTCTCTTCCGAAAATATCATAGAATACAAAAGCTATTAAAAAAGCTCATATAATTGACTTAACTACTGATTTTATTTTGATTGATAAATTGTAATTTATCTTTCTTTTTATGATCCATCCCTTGTTTTATTATTTACGTTCCTTCTTTTTAATGTGTGGTTATTGAATAAAAAAGAAATTAGTAAACTACTCGACTGGGTCTTCTGTTCTGGTCACATGAACATGAAGAACCTATGTGAGAGATGAAAGATTGAGAAACTAACAAGCTCTTTATGTTTCTTCAGTTGTGTTATCATGATGTCCTAATTCCAAATATGATCAAAGATTGTGTATGTGGAAGTGTTGAGGCAACTTGGCTATTGAAAATATAACATTATAATTTAACTCCAAGTCATCAAACTGATCCCATCTTCCCATTGCTATAAATGTAGGCCTAAGACAAGCAAATTATTTATGATTTAATTATCATTTATTTTTAATGATACATACAGGGTGGGAAAATAAATAATTATATTAAAAAATAATAATTCAAACAGTAAAAGTAATGTTGAACTAAAAACAATACATACAGTATATGGGCAAAGGTACTAAGGCACACCTCCTAATTACTGAATTCAAGTATTTCATTCCGACCCATTGCCACAGGTGCATAAAATCAAGCACTGAGCCATGCGCTCTGCATGTACAAACATTTGTAGGGGGGAAAAGGGTCGTTTTGAAGAGCGCAGTGAGTTGCAGTGTGGTACTGTGATAGGACGCCACCTTTACAATAAGTCAATTTGTGAATTTTCTCCATATGCAAACCCATATGCTGGTTAGGTATGTTTTGAAGCATGGCTGCTGGTTTGAGCTGGTTTAAGCTGGTCATGTGCTGGCCCTAAGCTGGTCCTAAGCAACTAACTCCTGCTCAGGACCAGCTTAAACCAGTTCATGACCAGCTAAGGACCAGCTTAAACCAGCAGTCATGCTTCAAAACATACCTAACCAGCATATGCTGTTTTTTTCAACAGGGAAGTGTCTGATGGAGTGGTGTAAACAAGTGGTTCTCAACTCCAGTCCTAGGGACCCACTACTCTGCACATTTTGCATGTATTCCATATTTTACACACTTGATTCAGATCATCAGCTCGTTAGGAGAGCGCTCCATGAAACTCTACTAAGTGTGTCAGTTAAGAGACACAGAAAATGTGTAGAGCGGTGATGATACAAATGATATAAATGATACAAATAGACTTTGATTCAAAACATGAAAAGAGATCAGAAATAGAAAGGTGCTCAAATTAAGTAAAAAAAAAAACACATACTTGCGTCGTTCAGTTTGTGGTTGAGCAGCTGGACTCCTGATTGTCCTGGGTGACTGTAGCTCAGATCAAGCTCTCTCAGGTGTGAGGGGTTTGAACTCAGAGCTGAAGATAAATAACCACAGTCTTCCTCTGTCACCATACAGCCAGACAACCTACAGACAGATTACACATGTGTTATCTAAAAGAGGACATTCAATAGACTTTTGTTTTTATACTAAGCTAATTATAAACACTATAACCTCGCCCTAACTGAAAACTTTCTGTTCTCCCAATAACTTTTCAGAAACAGCTCAATCCATCAAAGTGTTCAAAGTGTTTCGAAGGCTTGTACATATATTTTGAATCAGTAACAGAATATTCTGAATCCATGGCATAAGAAAGTAGTTCCTCTTACATAAGATTTTTCTGGACACTCCTTGCTTTTTCTTATTTATTTACAGCCATAACAAGCAGTGTACATGGAACAGTTAAATACCCCACATAAATACCTCAATATTTCCAGCAGACCGTTTGGATTCTTCAGTCCATCAGAGAGAAGCTTCACTCCTGAATCCTGTAGGTCATTATTACTCAGGTCCAGCTCTTTCAGGACAGCATATCAATTTCCTCCTTAAGAAATGAAACACAAATATCCTTCCTTGGTCGCTACTTACACATTTTACTATACTTTTTAGATTATATTCTACTATACCTATTTCCCATAGCTGATCCTTCAACTCTTGCCATTCTTGTATAAATTTCTCGCATGATAAAAAGATGTGTTTAATTGTCTCTTCGACCTGGCATTCATCACATAATCCTGTTGGATGTTTTCCTAGCAGATGAAGAGTCTTGTTTAGCTTGCAATGTCCAATCCTCAACCTACTTATTATGACTTGTTCTCTCCTTTTATTTCCCTTCTTACTTTCCATACCTACTTTATTTTGACTCAAATACAAGTGCCTTCCTTTAATTTCATGACTGTTGTTTCAGTTTCTTCTTCGCTTGTTTTGGAAATTCTGTACAGAAGATGCTTAATCCAAATTTATTGGCCTACCCCTCATTTGCCACAAATCCAAGTGTTTCCATATTCACAATAATTATTTGTTTAACTGTTATTCCTTTTGAATACAAACATGTGGAATTGTTTTGTTTATTTATTTATTTGCATACTCGCCACTGTAGTATCCTGCCACTGCTGTGTTGTGGTTGTCTACTTTGCTACACTAAACTTAGCAATAAACTAATTGAAAATAATTAAATAAAAGCATTTTTTTCAACACAATCTCAAAGTAGGCAAATAGAGTGAATTACTCACCCACTGCTTTAAAACAGACATCTGTTGGCCATGATTTAAATTGAACACACAATGGCAAACACACAAACACTTGGCACATAAACAGGATATTATCTGCCAAAATGCTGATTTGTCTTGCATCAGCTTCTTATGCAAATTATTTGATTTATTCATCTATTTACAAAATAATTTCTAGTATAATCGCATGGTTTGGGAGCCAGGCTATAACATCTTTATATGCTACAAATTCATTTAAGGATATTTGTCAAAAAAGCTCACCTTAACATCAAACGAGTTGCTGTTAAACTTCAAAAATACTTTATGCACCATATATAACTTCAAACAATGGTGTCACGTATATTGTGGTATTCGTAAGGATATGTGTGACACAGGTAATATCACTATTAAGTCTTTAATAGACTACAAATATACTGCACAAAGAAAAGCTAACACAAACCTCACAGCTAACACAGGTGAGAACCGACAAGAGACTGAACAGAACAGGGGGTATACATATACAGAGTTAACAAGAACACAGAATGAGGCACAGGTGATAATAATCAGTAACTTTTAGGGCTAACAATGGCCCTGTCCCAAATGGCACACTTCATGTGCACTTAAAGTCTAGCAGACTTATAAGTGCATGTGTTAGCAGTACACTTGTTTACCCACACCTAATTTTAAACATAACCATACTGAGCAATAAGGGGAGTCATAATCTGTCATTTTTTGGCACCACACCTGGCCCATGTGGGTTAGTTTGGTTCAGGTAAACCACAACATGCATGTGTGCTCAGTGGGTGTGTGGAAGAACAAAATATTTATATAAGGTATTGTTGTTATTATATAAAGCAATATTTACACATTCACTTCCAATGTCATACATCGTGATGCCTATAGTGTATGATTGTAGAAAAAAAATATACAGGCCTATGTTTTTATTGAACATTGATGGAGCAATAGATTTTGTGTGGAAATAAATCATGAAAGTGGTTTGTTTTGTATACATGGTTTATATGCAGACTAAAGTATTTGAGAATAATTTTTAGACCTGTTCATTCTTTTTAGTTCCAGAGGTGCATAAGTGTTGAATTGCATTATGAAGAGAGTGACACGGAGAACAGAAATTAATGGCAGGTCTATAGATCTATCTGTTTTATGCAACACTGATCACAACTTGCTGGGATGGGGTCCAGATAAGCAGCTCCGGTGCAAAATATGCCCAGCTGCCATCTGAAATATGTAAGCGGTACCTATGTTTACATTTTAGATCAAACTCTTGTATATTAAAAGACGAGGACATGTGATGAAGGTTAGGCTAAGATGCACATTTTATTATTGTACAAATTGGTTAAGCAATCAAGTTGTGGATTTGACTTTCTGACCTCCAACCAA